TATACATAATGAAAAAATAAAATGAAATCTTGATTATCATAAAAATCTGCTGAGAGAAGATAAGTTAGAAATCTCAGTTTAGATTTTACAAGTAATACCAAATCATAATAATCAATAGATGGTACTTTATTTGTTAACAATAATTTAAGAGTAAAAAATGTTTTTAAACTGCTCCTTCTTCAAGAATCTCAAACTCCTTTCTTTATTGGATCATTACTATTGGAATTCCTACAATCTCTGCTAAAATTAGTAATTAAATAACTTATATTATCCAATCATGGAGATGTATATAAGCCTTTTATTATGTTATGTAGTACTATTAATGCTTTCATAATTATAGCATTCACAGAATAGCTCAACATTATCAGCATAAATGCTTGACTAATCCAATTACTATATCTATAAAAAATTGGATCTTAAGCTCTCCTCTTTACAATCTCCTGTTAGATGCTAATCCGATTTACTAGAAATCTTTTTATCTTTCTCTAATATAAAGAGTACTTTTTATGATATTATTAATGTGATTATTTTCTTATCAACACATATACTTTTCATAAATAAATCTATTGTAATATAAACTAAATGAGACAATCAAATAAAATAATTTTAAAAAAATGAAAACATAAGCGGAAGACTTTTTTTCTAATTTAATCAAACTCCTGATTAGAAAGAGTTTTCTTTAGGGAATTTATATATATAGATTAAATCAATTGGGGCCAGACAATTTTGAAATAACTACTTAGCACATTATAAATATTTTAAGAAAAATGTAAGTATATTATAACGACTAGATTTATTTATAATATTTGACTTAGAAAATCATTGAAAAATCTTAAACTGAACCTAAATATAGAAAAATATACACAAAACTATGCTTGCTTTTAATGAAGGAACCTGAACTCACTGTAGAAAAATAAAAATATGGCTATGTTAAAAATTAATTTTTAAATTAAGTTCAATAAATATATGATGATAGAAAGAATAAGAAAGAAAATCTTTCTCATATAAAACCTGAAGAAAGGGAATAATACCATATATCTAGAAAATAAAAGATTATGGGATGTAATTAAATTTATAAAATTGCCTAGATATCCATTTTATTGGAGAATTATTTTTATCCAAAATAATTCCAATTTAGCTGTTGATTACATTATTGGAGAATTAATTCTGATTATTTGGTTTAATTTTATCCAAATTGAGATATTAATAGAATTATTATATCAAAGTAATTTTATGAAAAATTTTTTTAGTTGGTGCATAATACAATGTATAATTGAAAAACGATCTCTAATAATTCTTTGATGGAACAAACAAGAACCTTGAGGATGCAAATTGTTTCTTAAGAAAGAAACTTGACAAAAATTCTTCTATTCCTATTATTATGGAAATGTATCAACCTTGCTAAATTTATAAGATTTAATTTACTAATAAAAAAGTATTAACTTTTCATAAAGAATTTAAATATTGATAGAAAATTTTTAAGAGAGGAAAAATCAAGGTTGGATGAATCATTATAGCAAATAAAAGAAAGATTAAGCTTAGAGTTTCAAAAAAATTCACCAAGAAAAATAAGAGGTATTATGAAACAAAATTAGAATAGGAGGAAAGTAAAAAACAAAAAGAATAAAAAAAGAAGTATTAACTTTTGTAAGAGGTTTGTGTTGAAAAAAATTCAAATTTATAGTTATTATATCAACAAAGTAATTTGACTTAAATGAATTTTCAATATTTGTATTAGAAACTTTTTATATGGAACCATAATAATAAGAAGCAAAACTCCTGGAAGAGTTAAAAAGAATCGAATTTTCAGACTAGGCTATCCAAAGATTCTTTGAATAACTTCTTTCATGTAAAATACTTGATAATTTTGGGTAAATCAATAAAGCAAAATATTGATAGAGCCCAAACAGTATTTGAATTGTCGAGTAAAGCAGAGGCTAAAGAAGAAATCGTTAAAAAGACTATTTAAAAGGTAAGAAAATACTAATGATTAGGGTTTGAATGAAGATAAAGTATATGTTTTAGTTGAATCTCCATTAGCAATTCATTTATTGATTGATATCATTGGGTATTTCTAAAATGTTTCAGACGTCAATTCATTAAAAAAATTGTACTTTAAGCCTTTAGTAATAATTTAAGCTCTATAACAAAAGTTTTCCTCTATTTATCTCTATTTCCCAATCTTTTTCTGGAATATACAATATCCATATCTCCCACCACTACTAATATCATTTGAAAAAATACATCGTTTAATTTTAATAGAAATGCTTCTACCTTCCTATTTTTAGGTCATTACAGTACTCCCCAATATCATATACAGCGGCATTACTAATTATTCTATTAAAGATTAATTAACCTGCAATAATTATTATTTAATTATTTCCAAAATCCTATCTTCTAACCAAATTCTGAGTATAATATCATTCCTAAATATATATAAATTATTCACTAAAATATCCTCCAGCACTCAAACAATTTTGTCAATTCCAACTTACAGTCCATTTACCGATCATCTTCAATGTTTCATCTTATTTTCCTATCCATTCTAGATATTTTATTTGATCTAAATTTTAGAAAATTACAGCCTCTTAAGAATTGAAATTTTTTTTTCTATTAAAATTATTCTTGAACTTACATTCTTGCTATTTATCCGCCAAAAAGATAAATCATTTCATTTTTTTCATTAAATTAGTATTCCTTTACTAACCATCTTTGTTTAATAGTATCAAAAAGAAGGCATTTGTATTTTTGGGGGAATTAAATTATCTTTAATTAATATTGGTTGGCGCATAGGCATTATATTCTTAAAGTTATGGATTGTCGTTTTATTCTATGGTCATCTATAAGCCCTATAATTTCACATTTTAACATGAGCATATTTTTCCCATTTTTTATCTTTCTAATTAAATAATATAAAAGAATAGGAATAAAAAATTTTTTCCCCTATTTAATAAAATATTCCAAAATCCTCCAATTAAAAAGTATGATTTTATGCTGATCTCAGATATCTGCTTTCTGATTGATTTACAAAGAGTACTTGTTAAAAATTTTCTATCTTCTTTTAGGTTTTGTATTTATTAATTGATATTTAGTAACTATAATTTTAATACAAACTCTCCTTATGTAACTAATAAGAAATATTTTCAGCATAAGGAGTTCCAATTCTCAAAGAATAATTTGAGAATTAATCAAGCTTAGATTTAAAAGATTAATTTAAATAACTAGCAAGTTGCATTTTTTAAAGTTGATGAAAAATTCAAGTTTTTTTTATTTTATTATTTATCTTGAAATCTCTGATATGATTATTAATTAATTTTATTTGAATTTAATTATTTATGTAAGAATTATAGACTAAAAATCAAAATATTAATATTGATTAAAATAACAAAATTGAACAAAGAAAACAAAAAATATAATCTATTATTACCTCCGAATTATTACATGGCTATTACTGGTCATTTATTTAGAATAACAAATTAATGCTAAAATTATTCTACTTTTCTAGAATGCCCAGAGATGACAGAAGGGAATCTCGATGACATTAACCTATTAAAAAATATATTAAATTAATTTGATTAAATGAAAAATAATCATTTCACAATACAATTTCAGAAATTATTTCTTTTAATTTCAAGAAATATGATAATATAACTGATAAGTTTTAAATTAAGAAAAGCTCATATGATTCGATACAAATTTATACCTATCCTTTAATTTAGCCAATTTAAAAAAAACAGATTCATTATGTATTTGAATTAAGAGAAATAAATAAAATTGGTGAATTTGAATACCTAAACTTAGATCTTTATCATGGTGTATTTAATGCATGATTAATTCAAATAAAAGTTCAAAACTATATTAATCACCTTGATATAATAAAAAGAATAATTTAGAAAATATTAATCTAATAAAAATTACTGAATATATTTATTTAAATATTTATAAATATTCTATGTTGGAAAGTAGAGCTTTTGCATATTCTATGATTGTTTCTTGAAAAACATTTATTCATATTATTGAAATCTTTAAATTGAATAGAAAATTTTATCCTGAGCAAATAGCTGTAAAATAATTTAGAAGAATACCTTTTGCTATTCTTTTGATTCAAGATTTATTTCTTGGAATTTTTCATTCATCTTTTAAAAACAAATTTAATGTAATGATTTCAAATAATTAGTGTTTCATACCAAGAGAGAAAGCTTATAAGTAAAGAGCTTATACAATCAATTTAGGAATCTTTTTATCTTAGTCAAAATCATAGTATGTTACCTAGATCATGAAATCAATAGATTAAATTAAAGCACTACAATTATTTAATAGGCAATTATTAACAAAATATTTGTCAAAGAATTTGATTAACATGTAAAATTTTATCTATATATAGAAAACTTCTTAGCTTAAGCAAACTTGCAGTAAACATAGCAAAGAGATAATTATGTTCAATGTTAATGTTGATAAATCAGATTAGTAGACTAGTGCTGTGTAGAATGTGTTGACGAAAATCATATTAGCTTAAAAGAAGCAAAAAAAAGGTGGATTCATTTATTGGCTATTATAGGATTTAATCAGTAAACATGATTTCCAAAGAGAGAAAACCTTTAATTTATTATAAATGAGATTAAGTAATTGAAAGACTATTATAATAACTCATTATCAGAATCAATAGATGAGTAATTAATGAAGAATAATTAAGATATATAGAAACAAGATAGGCTTGATTATTTATTTTTACCAAAATGTCAAATGTAAATCAGATTCTATTATAAAACATGATCTGCTATACAAGTAATAATTAATGAATATTTTCTAGAATTATAAAAAGAAGCTGAAATTCTTAATAGAAGGGTGGACTGGAATAAATAATTGAATGTAAAGGCCAAAATAATTTGAGCGTTGTTAATTGCTCATAAATATTATAATAATATATATAATTTGAAATAAATTTAGAAAAAATGAGAAAATTGATGATGGCTGAAGAGAATGAATAATAATTAAAAACTATTACCAAAAAAAAAGGAGTTATTAGTAAAGATTGAAGAAGCAAGATCGAGTTTTAATAAATTTAATAAAAAATAAACGAATTGGAAAAAAATTTTAGAAGCATATATCTAAAGTTATATATTAATAATATGAATTTGGCAAATAATTATGTGAAGAAAATATATCTAAAAATTAATTGAAGCTAGATTCGTAGGACTTATCAAAATCATGAGAATAAAAAGTTTAAGCATTAATTTCAAATATAATGATTTGAACAAACAATATAATCAACTTTTGCTCCAAAACCAGTCTCAGATTTGGGAGGTCCCATTACAATTCCAGTTGGTCCTGAAACTTTAGGGGGTATTATGAATTTTATTGGTGATCCAATCGATGAAAGAGGACCAATTAAAACAAAAATTAGATATCCAATTCACAGAGAAGCTCTAAGCTTTGTTGATTAAGGTAGTTCTGAAATCTTGATTACTGGTATTAAATAGTGGATTTATGGGCTACATATGCTAGAGGTGGTAAAATTGGATTGTTAGGTGGTGCAGGAGTCTGAAAGACGGTGCTTATTTATGAATTAATTAATAATACAGCTAAATCTCACGGTGGTTATTCTGTTTTTCTGGGGTAGGAGAGAGAACAAGAGAAGGAAATGATTTATATTGATTAAGGTGTTATTAGTTTGAGAGGTTAATAATCAGGATGTGCTCTTATTTTAGGATAAATGAAGGAGCCCCCTGGTGCAAGAGCCAGAGTCGCTTTGACTGGTTTGACAGTTGCTGAATATTTCAGAGATGAAGAAGGAAAAGATGTGCTGTTATTTATTGACAACATTTTTAGCTTCACATAAGAATGTTCAGAATTTTCAGCTTTGTTGGGACGTATTCCATC